ATATGATATGTTCTTTTTAGTGAAACTACGTTAAGTATGTACTCACTATGTAGTTTCAGATACTAGTAGTATAAATTTATGATTATTTTGTCAAAATGGCAGAAGCACAAATTGTTCTTTCAATAGAACAAAATTTACAAACGAATGTTTAGAAAATCGAGATTCAAAACAGTGAAGTGAAACATATGAAGCAGAGAAAAAGAAGTTTGTTTTTAATTGACTGATTGCTGTTTGTTCGCTTTCAGTAGCAACTATTTCATGCATTTTTAAGACGAGAACAATTTGGTAATGATTCATATGCAGTGGCGGATCCAGAAATTTTCATAAGTGGGGGCCCACTGACTGCCTAAGAGGGGGCCCGCTCCAGTCATGCTTCATTGATTTCCTATATAATCAACCAAATTGTCACAGTCCCAAAAAGGGGGTGGGGCCCTGCCCCCCCCCCCCCTTAATCCGCCTCTGATATGGGTTATTTCTGCATGCAGTGGATTGACCTGTATAAAGGTCAGGAATTTAGACTGCTGCTTGCAATTGAAATGAAGGTTTTTTGGATAGGGAAAAAAAATTCCACCTGCAGAACGATCATAGAGTTCTGAAGGTGCAGAGAGTGTTGCACTTTACTAACATGCGGCAATATATTTAATTAACTTTGAATCTTTTGGGAACATGTGAAAAAAAGATATTCATGAGTTACGTGTCTGCTTATTGCGAAACCCAATGTTGCCGAACGTTTTAGTGTTTTATCAGAAAAGGTAATGAAATAGCTAAATGTGTCATGATCCAGGTTTCTCCAAATGTGGTCGAAGTGCTGAAACCAGAAATTACGCCAAACAATGTATTTGCAAAAAAATAAGGACAAATAAAGTGTAACAGTTCTGTCATCCAAACATTTTAAGAAATAACAAATAATTGTCGAGTTCTGTGATTGTGTGAATTTGGAATAATTCAGCAAAATTTATTTTTGATGATCAAAACTCTTAAAATGCAAGCTTTAACATTCAATAAAACTGCTCTGTTGTTCAAAGCTTTCAATTGTTTTTTTAACATTTCATTCTATAAAATAATTTCAGGCATTTTGTAAAATGCCTTTCAATTTTTCCACGCATTTTGTAAAATGCCTAGAAAAATTAGTCATTATGTAAAATGAGTCTTACAAAATGCCTAAATTTAGAAAATGTCTGTAACATATATACATGAAATAATTGACAGACATAATTGCTCTTTCATTGGTGTATACCCCACATCTACTTTTATTAGTCATAATGATAGCTTGTAACAGACGTTTAAGGAACAACGGGAAAGATTGTCCCAATAATTGTTGCTTGCAAAACGCCCAGTAGCAAATATTTCATGCAAATTCAGGACGAGAACAATAGGTTGGCTGGATGAAGGGAGGGGAATTCGGACTGCCACTGGAAAATTAGGATATCTGATATGCTGAACAACGGCAAATACTTTTAATGCATCAAGTCACCTACGGACACTCATATACAAATGTATAGAGAGGAGAGCGACTTGTTGCAAGGGTTATTTAATATGCAGAGAGCTTGGGTGACACTCGCTCTGCACAGGACATCGGACTAAACGTCCCCATTCAGACAGGACGTAAAACGGGTAAGGAACCCGGCCAGCCTATCACAGAAAATTTTTGATTTAAAAAAAAAGTGTCATCCCATTAGCAAAAGTGGAAGGACTGCCAGTTTATTCATTTGTGATTAAAACTTAAATTACTATATATTTCCTACTTACAGATTTCAAAATAATTCGTTTGAGTTCTTGCATAATTTTTACTGTATAGTTATACGCATCCTGTTGTTGGTTTCGAAGCCATTTATAGGATACATTAATAAGATTTGAAGTGGAGACAAATTTACAGATTCCACTGTATATTGTGACGTACATGTGTATGAAATCCGCTTCTCCTTCCATACTTCTAAATAGATTTTCCCAGCCCATTTTTGTTGGTTCCGTTCGTTTATAACCTTTTTTAAAAAGAAAACCAAAACATGTACTCAAAATCACATATTAGAAACGTCATACGATGGGCTTTAACCTAAAACTCATGAAGTAAATACGCATGCGCTTATTGCATCAGTTTTACGAAGTTTCCGATAAAAAAAGTCCACAAACAACTATATACAAGATCAAAGTTAATGTTTCATAGCTATAAATTTTATGAGGCACGGATTTAGTCAACATTATTGTATTTATTGATATCCTGAAATATTTCAGTACCTCCATAATTCGGATTCAGGATAGCCTGAAGTATTTCAGGATATCCTGAAATCGAACTATGAAGGTCCTGAAATATATCAGGATATTCTGAATTCGACTTGTCGGGGTCCTGAAATATTTCAAGAACTCCTTTAACACAATAGTTTTGACTAAATCCGCGCCTCATCCAATATCCACTGAAAGTCATGTATACAAAGAGGGAAAGGAGTCTTTGTATTCTTTTAAATATGAAACACACACAAACTGGCCTTTTGAAAAAAAGTTTTGAGTTATTTTATGTTTGTTTTCCTTCGATCGGTTCATTTGGGTACCTTTTATATATTTCTGAAAATAAAACTGAAATCGACGATTACTAGTAACGCATTATTTTATTTTTTTAGTAACACGTATTTTTTTTTGTAGTTTAAGCTAAACATTCCATTGAAATACAAAATCATGATTGAAGTTTTGTTATTCAGACTTCCTGTATTGATCTGTATTGGCCTTGATAAGGGATGGACAGTTGGTTCCTGATATCCTTTTCCCAACCAACTCCCACTTCCCTCCCTTACTCCTAGACGAAAATCGACCACTTTTTTTCTGCAGACCACTCTTTTTTAAAAGGACATTTGACTTGATACTTTATGAAGATTATTTGTTCCAATTTTTATGAAAAAAACACCGATGATTTTTTTTTAATTAGATAAACATGCAACAGAGATCAACAACCAATGCCGTTTTTTACCAAAATCATGTATTTATTCAAGATAAAAGGCATGAATTTGACAGGTACAATATATTACAATGACACAGATATAGCACTAGACATAGTTTATAGACACTAAAATGATTTACATGTTTACTAAAAATTTTAATTTAAAAAATAAAATTATGAAAATTTTCATGATATTTTGATAATATGAATAGACTAGATTAAATAATGAGTGAAATTTAAATTGACTAGATTTTCACTGTAGCCTAATATCTTAGGATGACCCACAAAAGTTATTAAAACTTATTTCCAGTGGGGTCCTTTTATGACGAGACTTCCAGTTTACACCAAAGGTTGACACATAGAAATACAAACACAAATCATTTAGAATTTATCACAGATAAATGGTCAAAGCCCCAGTATAATTAATAAAAAACAGATTCTCTATTAAAGATGGATTTAAATTTATCCATCAAAATTTTTTTCACTTCTACTTTAAAATTATATTTTTTAGAGCAACTTTTAATCATGTCTGGTAACGAATTCTAGTCTTTTATTCCATTATTAAAGAAAGTGGTGGATTCACACCCTTTAATTCCTGGTATATAAAAGTTTTTACTACTAGATCTTGTATTGAAAGATGTTTCATTTCTAACAAAATTAGTATGTAAATAATTTGGGCATATATTGTTAAAAATGTTGAAAACATGATTGAGTCTTAGTTGTTTGACTATTACTAATATTGAAAAAGCCCACTTTCTTAAATTCAAAATATGTCACACTCTTTCTGGGATGTAATTGCAGAATAAATTGCAGAACAATCTTATTGTGTGCCACTTGAAGTTTCTTCTTCATTTGTTTTGATATACCTTCATACCAGCATGCACATGCATAGTCAAAATGACACTGAATCAGAGAAGAGCACAATGTATTCCTAGATTGGAACTTTAGACACTCTTTGTTTCTATATAAAAATTTAAGCCTTTGATTAACATTTTTCACTATAGAGTTGACAATAAAATCACCAGTTAGAAACTGATCAATAATCATGATATTTTACTAAAAATGAATTATTTTCAAAAGAATTGTCACACAAATTAAGAGCATACTTTTGTAACGCAGATATTTCAAGTCTTTTTACAAAAATCCGCATGCGTTTATCTTTTGAAACAAAAAAGTTGAAGTATGTCTGTCCAAAGGATAGAAATGTCCAAGAAACCGAAATTTTAAGTAAATGTCTAAAATTTCGACCCCTGGCATTTATCTCTAAACTTAGCACATGAAGGTATATTTTTCAAGTTATTGCATAGTTGAATTAACTAAGTGAAAAATAGCTTGTATGCAAATTTTCGTTAAAAAAATCACCGTGGGATCAAAACTGTATCGTATGCCCTGTCCAACCTCCTCCATATCGGGGGTCTCATTGGGGGTTCTGATCCCGGATCCCGCTAACTGTTTTGTCAGATTCCTGTATCCCGCTTACACTATGAACGTAAGCAATTTTCATTTTTTTGTAATTTCCCGTGTCCCGCTAGACTTCATTTCCCGTTTTCACGGCACAATAATATGACTTTCACGTGTCACGCTTACAAAAAATCGGCAATCCCGCGTCACACTTAGACCCCAATGAGGAAGGTAGTAATGCCCTTTACCGCGTCAGGCGTCAAACGGTCATTTTAGGCTACCGTTAGCGTCAAATTGGTTAAAAATTTACCGTGATTCGTCAAAATATCCTTATCGTGATTCGTCAGAGGTCTGAAATAATTATCGTTACCGTTATTTTTGGAAAAAATTTAACGTGATTCGTCAAAATCAGTCGATTTTTTTATCGTCTAAAAGAGAGTGTACATTTTATCGTCATGTACCAAAAATTACCGTTAACGTCATTTGGCAAGAATTTTTACCGTTAATCGTCATGAGGGTACCCCCATTACGACCCTCAATGAGACCCACCATATCCAGTATGAGCTATGATCCGGATGTTCAGAATAAAACCATCAATGGTTTCGAATTTTACTTTTTGTCATTCTAGAAATTGACCTCAGAATACTAGTTCCCTGTTTATCTTTATATCCTTTTATCGTTCAGTAAAGTGAATCATTTCGTTCTTTTACGGTCCAAAGTACACAAAACGGTTTATAGTTTTCACAGTGTTTGTTTCAAAAAAACTGTTGATATGGAGTGGGTGAGCCACTACGTTCAATATAGTTTGGCACTAATATTTGGATATTTTTTCGCTGCCATGTCAGTAATGGGTATTATTTGGAGATTTATTCGGCATCCAATAAAGTCTGTCACGACTGCTTGGCCAAAGACAAGGGATGTAATGCCAGCCTGTTTGAATGACCCAACATTAGGTTCCCACGGATTCATACACTTAGAGGCAAGTACAAGTATTCATCACAATCTGACCGCTTCCCGTAAATCTATGTATTAGCTATAATGTACTCGCATGACACCTGGAATATCACTCCTCGAAAGCTTATCCTGTTTTCAGGTTATTCTGAAATTCGCACAGAACGCAGCGAAATAGGTACATCGTACCTTTCAAATCTTTTTGTTCTACTTAGATTGCTAACTATTTTTATGTTTGAATTTTTCCTTTGTATATAATAAACATTAGTCATAAATTTGCACTGCACGTAACCGCTTCGAACGACGTGTGTTTGAGAAGGGTAGTATGTCTTTCTTCAGAATGTTACATAGTCTACTTTTGTGCTTTTAAACAACAATATATTCAGTCATAAATACAATGCCAGATAATATATAATATAAAATTGTCTATAGATACTAAAGCACCCCTAAGGTCTGACCGAGGCATTGTTTCAACCCCTAAGATGTAATTTTTTTTGTCATTCTAGAAATTGACCTCAGAATACTAGTTCCCTGTTTATCTTTATATCTTTTTATCGTTCAGTAAAGTGAATCATTTCGTTCTTTTACGGTCCAAAGTACACAAAACGGTTTATAGTTTTCACAGTGTCTGTTTAAAAAAAACTGTTGATATGGAGTGGGTGAGCCACTACGTTCAATATAGTTTGGCACTAATATTTGGATATTTTTTCGCTGCCATGTCAGTAATGGGTATTATTTGGAGATTTATTCGGCATCCAATAAAGTCTGTCACGACTGCTTGGCCAAAGACAAGAGATGTTATGCCAGCGAAATAGGTACATTGTACCTTTCAAATCTTTTTGTTCTACTTAGATTGCTAACTATTTTTATGTTTGAATTTTTCCTTTGAATATAATAAACATTAGTCATAAATTTCCACTGCACGTAACCGCTTCGAACGACGTGTGTTTGAGAAGGGTAGTATGTCTTTCTTCAGAATGTTACATAGTCTACTTTTGTGCTTTTAAACAACAATATATTCAGTCATAAATACAATGCCAGATAATATATAATATTAAATTGTCTATAGATACAAAAGCACCCCTAAGATCTGACCGAGGCATTTTTTCAACCCCTATAAGATGTAATTATTTTTACCTTGCAAAATATTTACTGCTGCTAGACCCTTAGAAGTTTTTTGCGTATAATTGTACGTGTCAGATGAAAAAAACAAAAAAATACACCCCTAAGATGTATAAATTTTACACCCCCTCAAAAACAACCATCCATCCCCCTTTAGCAGACATTATCTGGAATGGTCCATTGCTAGCTAGCATGTTGAAATCCAACCCTCGAGATCCAACCAAGCAGGATGTATATATATATATATATATATATGTTTAACATTATGTTATTGTCATGAATATGCATGTGACATTTTAGGCTGGACTCTAAACAGTATAAATCGATCAATCGATCATAGTATGTCTATGATAATTTTTACTTTCCATTTTTATACATTTTCTTAGTCCAGATAGTAAATGACATCTGCTGATGAATTTTTGAATTTTGATTTTATAGACCCGTCAAGTTATTGACCGGTAAGGGGTCAAATATAAAATAAAAAAAGGCTTCCAATACTCATAATTATTTTGACTAACATTTTCCAAGATCAAAAGGACAGAAAGAAATGATTTAATGCCAGTTTTTTAACACGTTCAAAGTCTATTTTGAAGTTGTTTTCTTTATTATTATATTTTTATCGAAATTTCTTGTCAGTGTTGTTTAAACAACGTTGACCTAGGCTTTTACGATTTCAGAGATAAATCATTGGGATTAATATACATGACATAGGGATCAACATCGACCTTCTCTAAAAACAAAAACTGATTAAAATTCGGGTCTCAATGGGTTTGTTTTTTTCTCCTTTACCAGGAAGTCGTTATAAAAGTTCGTTGGAAGACTCCATGTAAAAGATTTGTGAAACAACGCATAAAATAAAAAAAAAATGATGAGTTGTGAACGTAAATGATACGGGTATCTAACAATACAACAAAACCAAAAAAAAAAATACCCAGAGTCATATTTTGATGTTATTATTTCCTTCAGGTATCTGAATTTTTACGGACGATATCACTACGATATCTTTATGTTTTCGGATAAACCTCAGTTATCTGAGTTTACAAGGACATTATGTCAGGCTCAAGTAACCTGACTTTCCAAGGACAATATGTCTATGTTAAGGACAGGCACAAGTAACCTGACTTTCCAAGGACAATATGTCTATGTTAAGGACAGGCACAAGTAACCTGACTTTCCAAGGACAATATGTCTATGTTAAAGACAGGCACAAGTAACCTGACTTTACACGGACAAAATATCTATGTTTTAAGTAGGTAAATTGACTTTTCACGGACAATATCTCTTATGTTTTCAGAGAGGCATAATTAACCTGACTTTTCACGGACAATATTTTTAAGTTTTAGAAGAGGCTTTGGTGATCTGACTTTTCACGGACAATATCTCTATGTTGTAGGAGAGACTTCATTAATCGGACTTTTCACGGACAATATCTCTATGTTGTAGGAGAGACTTCATTAATCGGACTTTTCATGGACAATATCTCTATGTTTCAGGAGAGACTTCATTAATCGGACTTTTCACGGACAATATCTCTATGTTGTAGGAGAAACCTCATTAATCGGACTTTTCACGGACAATATCTCTATGTTGTAGGAGAGACTTCATTAATCGGACTTTTCATGGACAATATCTCTATGTTGTAGGAGAGACCTCATTTATCGGACTTTTCATGGACAATATCTCTATGTTGTAGGAGAGACCTCATTTATCGGACTTTTCATGGACAATATCTCAATGTTGTAGGAGAGACTTCATTAATCGGACTTTTCACGAACAATATCTCTATGTTGTAGGAGAGACTTCATTAATCGGACTTTTCACGGACAATATCTCTATGTTGTAGGAGAGACTTCATTAATCGGACTTTTCACGGACAATATCTCTATGTTGTAGGAGAGACTTCATTAATCGGACTTTTCACGGACAATATCTCTATGTTGTAGGAGAGACTTCATTAATCGGACTTTTCACGGACAATATCTCTATGTTGTAGGAGAGACTTCATTAATCGGACTTTTCACGGACAATATCTCTATGTTGTAGGAGAGACTTCATTAATCGGACTTTTCACGGACAATATCTATATGTTGTAGGAGAGACCTCATTAATCGGACTTTTCACGGACAATATCTCTATGCTGTAGGAGAGACTTCATTAATCGGACTTTTCACGGACAATATCTCTTTGTTTCAGGAGAGATCTCATTAATCGGACTTTTCACGGAAAATATCTCTATGTTGTAGGAGAGACTTCATTAAATTGGACTTTTAACGGACAATGTTATAGTTATTGTGTAAGCAAATCTGTATATCTCATTTAATCTACACGGCTCGGGTGACCCTACTCTAACCGAACGACGTAGGATTTCGGGTTAAAGGGTCATCCCGATCGTACAGATTAGATGATATACACCAATTTGATTAGCCAATAACTGTTTTAACACATGACGCCATTAGTTTACATGAACGTTTTGGAAATATGCGGACGATATTCCGTATCTAGGGATCCTAGGAAAGTTTTCTTTATGTAGTAAAAAATTGGTAACTTTTAAATTATCAACTTTTTTGATATTCAGGCTTCTTCTTAATTGTTACATTATTTGGAGAATTGCGATTTAATGACATATTTTTTTATCGTTTCCAGTAAATTTATTCACAATTCTTATATAAATTCTTGACGATTTAGAACTGGACAGTGTAGACACCTACATATATTGTTGAAACATATAAAGTTGCCCTCTAGATGTCCTTTGGTTGTTTTTGTCGTTTGCATGATTGCTGTCTTATTGTTCTGGTACATACTTAAATATGAACCTCATTAAATTCGATCCCAAAATAGTCACTAAAAAGGAATAAATATTCAAAAAGTCGTAATAAATTCCATTGAGCACAAAACGAATCCAAATCAGATTTCTTTTATTTGGATATTCTAAAATACATTTCTTTTTTTAGCATAAATTACAAAAAAATATTATCTTGTTCGACTTTCAAACACTGATTTAACATTTACGTTGTACACAAAATATCATAGAATGTTCCCGCCCAGTTTAAGGATTCCGAATGAGAAACACTTTCTATTTCATATTTTGAAACGACGAAGTTTGTACAAAGTTAATTGATTGGCTATGTTGTGACCTCAAGGTCAGTGGGGAGGTAATGACGTTGCTGACGTAAAATGTTGTTTTCGCAACGCCAAACTATGACTTATCGGGAAAAGATGCATTTTTCGACTGATTTTAAGCATTAGCTTGAAAACGAGTTCATGGATCGCCATTTTTGAAAATGATATTTGGCTTGATTATGTATGAAGGTTATTTGTACCAATTTTCAAGAACAAATCACCGATGGAATTTTTTAAATTAGATTAATATACGTCAAAAAAAGCCGTTTTTATCTAAAATCATAATAATTTGATAAAAATGAACTATATCCAAAGAAATGTCACACAAATTCAAAGCATACACATGTAAAAAAGATATCCCAAATATTTTTACAAAAATCCGCTTGTGTTTATCTTTTGAAACAAAAAAGTTGGGTATGTTTATCCAAATGATAGAAATGTCCAGGAAACCGAAATTTTTAGTAAGTGTCTTAAAATTTAACGCCATTTATGTCTTAAAGTAGCACATAAAAGTATATTTTTTATTACAATTTTGAATTGGGCGTATGACATTTGCGCCGATTTTTAAAATTTTCATTCTTTATTTGCGCCGATTTCATTTTTAGCTCACCTGGCCCGAAGGGCCAAGTGAGCTTTTCTCATCACTTGGCGTCCGTCGTCCGTCGTCCGTCGTCGTCGTCGGCGTCGTCGTCGTCGTCGTCGTCGTCCGTCGTCGTTAGTTTTTTACAAAAATCTTCTCCTCTGAAACCACTGGGCCAAATTTAACCAAACTTGTCCACAATCATCATTAGGGTATCTAGTTTAAAAAATGTGTCCGATGAACCCGCCAACCAACCAAGATGGCCGCCATGGCTAAAAATAGAACATAGGGGTAAAATGTAGATTTTGGCTTATATCTCTGAAACCAAAGCATTTAGAGTAAATCTGACATAGGGTAAAACTGATTATCAGGTCAAGATCTATCTGCCCGGAAATTGCCAGACAAATCTGACAACCTGTTGTTGGGTTTCTGCCCCTGAATTGGTAAATTTAAAGAAATTTTGTAGTTTTTGGTTATTATCTTGAATATTATTATAGATAGAGATAAACTGTTCAGCAAAGTAAGATCTACAAATAAGTTGTCATGGCCAAAATTGTCAGTCGACCCCTTTAGGAGTTTTTGCCCTTTTAAGTTAATTTTTAACAATTTTTTGTAAATTTTTGTAATCTTTTACAAAAATCTTCTTCTCTGAAACTACTGAGACAAATTTAACCATACTTGGCCACAATCATTATTAGGGTATCTAGTTTAAAAAATTTGTCCGATGACCCCGACTTCCAACCATCATGGCCGACTTGGTTAACAATAGAACATAGGGGTAAAATGCAGCTTTTGGTTTATATCTCTGAAACTAAAGCATTTAGAGCAAATCTGACATGTGGCAAAAATGTTCATCAGATTAAGATTTATCTGCCCTGTAATTTTCAGACGAATCCGACAACCCGTTGTTGGGTTGCTGCCCCTGAGTTAGTAATTTTACAAAAATTTTGCAGTTTTTTGTTATTATCTTAGATATCATTATAATATCTAATATCTAACTAATACTATTAATTATGATTTTAACCTTATTTTACATGATTTCCAAAGCATCAGTAAATACAGTTGAGCGACACAGGCTCTTGAGAGCCTCTAGTTTCATTTGCGTCGATTTTATATTTGCTCCTAATTGTATTTACAGTTTAATACAGGTGAGTAAATATTTGTAAATGTACTATACCTTGAATGTATATTGGTAAAATCTGGTTATAAACGTTGTTCACTTATGTTTAAGTTAAGAAAATCCAGGCCGTTACGTATGTTAAAATGCGAACTCTAGAAATGCCCGCATCAGTACGTTAGCCAGAGAAAGAAAAGATGGACTTCGTTACTGACAATTACGACAAATATAGAGACGAAATCACAAGAAAGGAATATATTAGATGTGTTGCCTATGCAAGAACAGATTTATGATTTTAATGTATTCCGTTTTTATGGATTTTAATGTTGTAAATAGATTTTTAATTCGTCATTTTAGTATAAACAAAGTAAAAACAGAGTGCTTTTATCTTAGGTTTTTACTTCTTGATTTTAAAGTATGTGAACACAGTGCTTTTAAATTGACTTATCCTGCTCAAAATCATACTTCCACCTCCCCGTGGTGAGTAGAGGACAACAGTTATATACATGTTATGATTGACAATTCATAACATTTGTACAACTGGCGAACGGAAGAGGTCTATAATGATAAATGAAAAATAACATTCACCTGTAATTTACCTGTAAAAAAATCGGCTCAAATGAAAAAAACAATCGGCGCAAATGCAAAACGCCGTTTGAATTGTCCAGGTAAAAAATAGCTGGTATGCAAATTTTAGTCAAAAATTCACCGTGGGATCAAAACTGTATCGTATGCCCTCAAGGGAAGACCTACTATACTAATCTGACTTTTCACGGACAATATCTCAATGTTAAGGGAAGACCTACTATACTAATCTGACTTTTCACGGACAATATCTCTATGTTAAGGGAAGACCTACTATAATAATCTGACTTTTCGCGGACAATATCTTAATGTTAAGGGAAGACCTACTAGACTAATATGACTTTTCACAGTCAATATCTCTATGTTAAGGGAAGACCTACTAGATTAATCTGACTTTTCACGGAACATATCTCTATGTTAAGGGAAGACCTACTATACTAATCTGACTTTTCACGGACAATATTTCTTTGTTAAGGGAAGACCTACTATACTAATCTGACTTTTCACGGACAATATCTCAATGTTAAGGGAAGACCTACTATACTAATCTGACTTTTCACGGACAATATCTCAATGTTAAGGGAAGACCTACTATACTAATCTGACTTTTCACGGAAAATATCTCAATGTTAAGGGAAGAGCTACTATACTTATCTGACTTTTCACGGACAATATCTCTATGTTAAGGGAAGACATACTATACTAATCTGACTTTTCACGGACAATATTTATATGTTAAGGGAAGACCTTCTATACTAATCTGACTTTCCACAGACAATATCTCAATCTTAAGGGAAGACCTACTTTACTAATCTGACTTTTCACGAACAATATCTCAATGTTAAAGGAAGACCTACTATACTAATCTGACTTTTCACGGACAATATCTCTATGTTAAGGGAAGACATTCTATACTAATCTGACTTTTCACGGACAATATCTCTATGTTTAAGAAGAGACCTCATAATCGGCATTTTCACGGATGATATCTTTATATCTCTATGTTAAGGTGAGTCCTTATTAATCTAACTTTTCACGGACAATATCTATGTTTTAGAAGAGACCTCATTAATCTGACTTTTCACGAACAATATCTCTATTTTTAAGAGAAACCAGAGCAATCTGACTTTTCCCGGACATTATATCTATGTTTTAGAAGAGACCTTATTAATCAGGCTTTTCATGGACCATTACTTTTCACAGACAATATTTGTATGTTTTAGGAGGTACGGTTGCATTATGTGGCAAGTGGAGATGAAAGTAAACCATTAATGCTATTTCTGCATGGTTTCCCTGAATTTTGGTATTCATGGCGACATCAAATCAGAGAGTTCAAGAAAGATTACAGGTATTATACTTTGATATAAGCTTATACGTGTTCATATGATAACATGAATACACATTCAACGTTAAAACTGGATGAAAAATTTAAGGAAAACATAAAAATTATGTAAATAATATCACATTAAACATTTTTCTTTTTTACGTCATTTTCAAACTGCTTACATATCACATTGCTTAGATTATATAAATAAGACAGCAATATTAATCATTTAAATCTAAGTCAGGATACTAGTACATCAATAGATAAATAATTATATTACTAAAACGGAATTCGCACAAATGGAGAGATGGAGCGCAAAAAGGTATGATATTCTACGCATATTTCATGCATGCAATGGTTTTGAATAGAAGTGCGTTGTGTATTCCAGATGTGTGGCCATCGACTTGAGAGGATATGCAGACTCTGATAAACCAAGTGGTATAGCAGCCTATAATACGGAGAAAATGATCGCCGATATCAAACAACTGATCCCAGCCTTAGGTAATTAGCTATTAGGCCCGAGAACACAGTTATTTCGTAGCGCATTTCTTTTAGACAATAAAGTCAAATTAAAAAAATCGCACCTGCTCTATTCCAAAAAGATTTTTACAGTGTAGTTTACTACTATTGGGACAAATAATTTTAAAATTATAGAAAAGTCTACCACCTCTAACTCAATATATTGACAGTTCTATGTTAAGGGGGTCTAAAATTCAGTTTGACAGCTTCAGACTTACTAGATTTTGACCTTTTTTAACTGGACCAAATCACTACTTAAAATAAAGATTCAGCACCCAAATTTTTTTAACATGTAATTTCATCCCCTTACTTAATATTTCATGCATAAAATATAAAGAAATAAATTAGGAAAGTGTATGAAAAAAATTTGCAAGTTATACACTGTCCACACTAGGGACTATATTTGAAGACAACGAAAAGACAACGAAAATTTTTTCTAAGGACGATAACTGTGTCCTCGGACCAATAGTACCTTAGGAACAAAGAGTTAAGGAGTCAGTTATCATTTATTGATACTTTCAGATGTTGTAGTAACTTTCCTGTCCTCTTATCCTCTTTTATGTCTTGTCACCGAATACGACTTTTCAACAGATTTTCACTTGTCATAACAGGCGCCAATAGTTTTGTAGGAACTATTCCAGATTAAAGTGTGTAACATAGTGTTTTTGTCTTGGAAGGACTTCCTTTATTCTTCTTTCTTTCTTTCTTTTTGATTGTGACCCCCACTTTTAAAATTGACTCCCTTTTCTCGTCAACAGCTATTTCAAATACGACATAAAAACACCAATTATACAATTTATTAATAACGAGATTAGTTTGAAAAAGTGTAGATAGATGTAAGCCACAATTGTTTTCTTTTCTTTTTACAAAGGATACAGAACTTGCGTATTGGTTTCCCATGACTGGGGTGGCGTGCTTGCATACCAGTTTGCTGGTAAACACCAAGATATGATAGATAAATTGATTGTTATGAATGCACCTCATTCTGGATCATTTCGGGAGTATATGAAGAAAAATAAATCACAGGGCAAAAAATCTTGGTAGGTAAACTTTTAAACTTCTTAGCAATAATTAGGGGGGGGGGGCTTTATCTATATTTAAACATCTCAATAAAAACTGTGATATTATAGAAATGTCTTGATTCAATGTCTTTATACTAAAGTTTCGCGTCAGTAAATTTGTTATCAAAATGTTGTACATGATGATTTGAACGGATTAAGAGGTATGACATTTCGGAATAACATTAATTTGCAATACCAAACTTAAAAGTCTGGAAAGAATACCGAAAAGAGGAAAAACATGCCGAGTTCACACCTTATAAAGGCAAAATGGGAACGGATCAGGGCATACACTTCTGTGAAATGTGCAGCTTGATTAGTTAAGTGAAACAGCAAAATTCCTATAGCAGAAAATGAAAGAAAACCTTCAGGAACAACTATTTATTATTAGGTTTTGATGATTTTAATTCTGTGATCTTATCAATAGATTGATAAATATTGTTTGAGTACACCTTCAACTGAGGAAGGTTTCAACGAACGAGTCTTGATAGTATCATGCAGGTTATGGGTTATAATTTTTTAAGTCTATAGCGCTGAAGGTATACCTTAACCAAGGTACGGAGCAAAGTTCAATTATTTAAGCAAGGAGTTTAGACAAACAACAGAAAGTAACCTAGGGTTAAATATTATCCCATTGTTATGATATTTGACCCAACGATGCTCAACCGGATCGAGGTCAGGTAATTTATTGCTTGATTTGTTGGCGTCCAGAAAAATCCTGAAATGTCCTGAAGTGTTTGCCACTGGGCGTTAGTCATATTTAAATCAGTCAATCAATCAATCATTTAAAACTTGTAGGTACATCATGTTTTTCCAAACACCATGGATTCCGGAGATAATTTTTTGGCTGTTTGATTATGAAACCGTACAACAAGTGTTTACTGGTAAACGTAGCGGTTTAGCTGTATCAAAAATGTCAGTTGATGATGTTGAGGCATACAAATATGCATTATCTAGACCAGGTAGGTACCATATATAGATACACGCAAATTTGTACATCTAACTGCAGGTAAGGCCTACAAAAGGTATGGCTGTGAAAACACATGTCGAATTTTCCTTCTGCTTAAGCATGATACATGTTTATAAAGTATAACACCTTGTAATATAAGCATAATTAAATGTTTAATTCAAGTAATAATAAAGTGTAATATAAACATAATTAAATGTTTAATTCAAGTAATAATAAAGTGTAATATAAACATAATTAAATGTTTAATTGAAGTAATAATAAAGTGTAATATAAACATAATTAAATGTTTAATTCAAGTAATAATATAAGTGTAATATAAACATAATTAAATGTTTAATTCAAGTAATAATAAAGTGTAATATAAACATAATTAAATGTTTAATTGAAGTAATAATAAAGTGTAATATAAACATAATTAAATGTTTAATTCAAGTAATAATATAAGTGTAATATAACCATAATTAAATGTTTAATTCAAGTAATAATAAAGTGTAATATAAACATAATTAAATGTTTAATTCAAGTAATAATAAAGTGTAATATAAACATAATTAAATGTTTAATTCAAGTAATAATAAAGTGTAATATAAACATAATTAAATGTTTAATTCAAGTAATAATATAAGTGTAATATAAACATAATTAAATGTTTAATTGAAGTAATAATAAAGTGTAATATAAACATAATTAAATGTTTAATTCAAGTAATAATATAAGTGTAATATAAACATAATTAAATGTTTAATTCAAGTAATAATAAAGTGTAATATAAACATAATTAAATGTTTAATTCAAGTAATAATAAAGTGTAATATAAACATAATTAAATGTTTAATTCAAGTAATAATATAAGTGTAATATAAAAATAATTAAATGTTTAATTCAAGTAATAATATAAGAGAAGAATATAAGGCTAGACCATTTCAAATTTTTATTCTTTATACATGGATTGGACAACAAAAATTATGTATACGAAAATTTGTTATTCAGCAGTTAACTATCTCTATTTCAGATTAATTGATTTTATTCAATTTTATTTATATTTTATATTTCTTTAAATGTACGAAGTTCATGTATTTGGCCTTTTTGGTTGCATAAGACATTGATTTAGTTACTTATTCTAAAAATTTGTCCTGCCCCAAAAAATTGAATTCGTACATTGGATCCAAAAGTCAGGGTAATTTAAAATCCAATTTGGGGCTTTTATTCTAATATCCTTTTGCCCTACGAACTACAATATCTACCCCACTACTTGTTGCTAAATCCAAATTTAATAACTTGTTGTGAAACATTTTTAAGATGCAAAATATAGAACTTCTGTAATAGCTAATTTTGTTTATATAATATTTGTATACTAGTAATAAATTGCGTTTTGTAGGGTATTTATAGTCCCTATTCGGGAATGTATTCGACAACTAAACTTTTCATCAAAATGGTCACTTTGACAGTATTAAAGATTGAAGAGAAAATACGAATGTACTGATATAATAAAAGTAAACATTACATGATTCCAACCCTTCGTTGTAAATGTATCAATAATCTGCATTATGACTTTATTAAAACACTCTTTAACTTTAGTAAAGGAATTTACCTCGGGAGACAACGACTGTAATTGATTCAACAAGAGACCAAATAAAATGGATGTAAGCAACTATAGATCACCATTCTTCCTTCAACAATGTGCAAAACATATACTGTATAGTAAGCTATGAACAAACCTGACATTACTAAATGTAAAACTATTCAAACAAGAAAACCAACGTCCTGATTTATAATAAGATAATAAACGAAAAACATATAAACAACCAACGACAACTATTGAATTACTGCTCCTATATTTAGTTAATATGATTTATAGGTGGACTTACTGCACCAATTAACTACTACCGAGCAGCACTTCGGTACCCTCCAGGAAAATTCATTTACAATACCATAGAGACACCAACATTGGTCATCTGGGGATGCAAAGATACTGCTTTAAACAAAGAAATAGCTTCATTGCCATCCAAATATGTCCCAAATCTTACCGTTAAATACGTTGAAGATGCCAGCCACTGGGTTCAGATGGATAGCCCTGAGGAAGTGAACAAATTGATGCGGGAATGGCTCAGTGCCTAAGACTTGTTTCAGGATAACTGTTTTCTTTTTTTTGACAATCATAACCAAAAGGTTGTACATATAAACGTAGTTTTCATGATAGGTTGATTTTATGTATCTGTCAATCACTATTATAAATTGGATTATAAGAGTAGTTGATAGATTTTTCTATATTTTAATAAAATAACTAGGAGAAATTAACAACATTTAAAATGAAGAAGAGAGGTTTCCTTTAAAACATTTAATTATTTTAGTCTTTGTACAATACATTTGTAATTGAAACAGCAATTACAGTGTTATTTATAGCAATTACAGTGTTATCTATAGCAATTACATTGTTATCTATAGCAATTACATTGTTTAATATCTATAGGAACAGTTCGAGAACACCAAACACACAGTTTTGTGACAGTGCATTTTAATTAAGTTATTAATGAAGAATCTTTCGTTGACTACCTGTATAATCATTATATAATGATGCATGCTATCTAAGCTGAATGCAAAACATTCAATTTAACCTCAGTGTGGGCAGCTCTGATTTCATTAGCTTGAGGATTAAATGATAAATTCCTAAATCCTGCCGGACACAACTGTATATTTGTTCAACATAAACCATTTGTTTGATATTGAACATCATGTGGTAAATATTTAATGCATATTTAGGACGTTGTAGGAAAAAGAAAAAGAAAAAAAGATCTCTAGACTGAAATATTGAATAAAACTTCAATTTAAATTTGAAGGGGGACGTAGGTATTTAATAATGTTAAACAAAGTATGCTCCCTTTGTAGCATGCGCTCGTCGACTTTTATTTACTAGTACTCGTGGTAAACATTCAGTAAGTAGTTCACAATTCTAACAATCAAAGATAGAACATCAGATTAGCCTTAAATAACAGGCCACCTACAGACCCCTCAAACAGTTGTTGTAAGGGTTCTTAACGTACAGAGAGCATGTCACTCTCTAAAAGAGAGACAAAAGATACCAAAGGGACATTCAAACTCATAAGTCGAAAATAAACTGACAACGCCATGGCTTAAAAAGAAAAACACCAACAGACAAACAATAGTACACAAAACACAACATAGAAAACTAAAGGATGAGCAACTTGAACCCCACCAAAAACTGGGGGTGATCTCGGTTGCTCCGGAAGGGTAAGCAGATCCTGCTCCACATGCATGTGGCACCCGTCGTGTTGCTCATGCTATAATAAACCCGGTGATAAGTCTAATTCGGTAGGTCATATTCGGGAAAAGGGGACGGGATTGTAGTTATGACATTAGGAACATATCCGCTATCATATGTGAAACTGATATTCCGTAACGGTCAACCACTCGTGATGGCGTCCGTAAAATTTACGAAGGGATGATTTCAACTTCACCACTTGGAACTCTTGGTTTAATAGCCTCCTTGTGAGCAGCAGCCCTCTATCAAGGAAATCATGATAGGAAATACAAACCCTGGAGTATGGTATCAACTGGGAGATATATACTCCGTATGCAGGCGGTGATGGAATGTTGCTACATAAAAATGGAAAGTTCTCAATTGGGAAGCTGAAATCATCTCATTTGTCATAAAGTTTTGTTTTCAACCGACCTTCATTGTCAATTTCTAGATGTAAGTCAAGATATTTAGGCAGACTTAACTGTATCTGTTGTATCCTTTATCTCAAGCTCGACGGGATAGATGCGTTCAACATAGTCACCAAATTAAACGAGGTATATGATTTAACGTCCCCATTCACTCCGGACGTTGCTGCGATTTTATACATCCTGCACAACCAAACAATTGAAATCTTTTGGAAAACATATATAAAAAAAATGTCCTTAATACAATAGTTTTGCTTCCACAATATTTATTTGTACACTCGAGATGTTTTTGTCAACAAAGCATTGTAACCTTGCATTTTCAACAAGCAAGTACAATAAAAAGAAAGCAAAGTCAGTGGCGTAGCTAGGCCATTTTTAAGTGTACGCCCGGACCTCGGTGAGGGGCCTGTGGGCCTTGAGCGGTTCCAGGGCAGAGGACTTCCTGGTAGGAGGTTCGAGGGGGCAAACCCCGGAAGCTCACGCGTTATCGAAAGATATACCATTTCTGTCATTAAAAACTCTTCAATAGCAACATACCTTAAAGTCTAATTTGTATATTATAATGTGTTAATTTGGAATCTAATGATCATTGGTCTTAGAGAAAACGTCGAAACCAGTTACTGTAAAATATATTAAAAAGGAGATGTGGGGTAAAACAATCAATCGACAAAAAATCCAAAACTTTAGAGCAAATCTCCATTTCAATGTTGTCGTTCTATTAATTATGATGACCATCTAAATTTCTTCAATTTCTATGCGCAAATTCCTTTAATAGACACATGAAATAATTAATTTTCATAGGTGGCCAGGTGTAATATAAAAATTCGTAAAGAGTTCCGTGGAACCCTTTCTCTCTATATCAATTACCATAAGGTAAAAATAAATTATTTAAATGCCCAAAAAGGCGCAAGCCAGAGCCGACCGTGCAAGACCCTCATGGGTAGACAAGGTCGTTAAAAAAAAACCCTTGTCGTCGTCGCGCTTTGTCTTGCTTGGGATTGCTGATGTCCGTGTAAAATTGTAATATTGACTAAAAAGTGAATCCATTATCAGTCAACAACAGGATTTAAGAAAAAATCTAACTTTTTTTAGATGCTTTTTCTTGATCTTGAAGAATAATGTCCAAAATAAATGATCCCAGACTGTCTGTTAAATGCAATTAAACAAAGTCAGTAAATTCTGAAAAAATATTTTTAAAAATGCTTTAGACATTATCTGGTAATCTTAAAAAAGGTTCTGCCAAATTTTCATAAAATTCGATGAAAGTTTGACAAAGTAGTTGGTGTGTAATAAACTTTAACCCCAGACTGTATTTACAAAACAGCAATTGCTTACATCCACTTCATTAAACTTCGGTGGATAGTTGTCTCATTGGCAATCAAATCACATCTCCTTATTTTAATATTAACAAATAAAATTGAGAATGGAAACGGGGAATGTGTCAAAGAGACAACAACTCGACCAAAGAGCAGAAAACAGCTCAAGGCCACCAATGGGTCTTAAACACAGCAAGAAAATCCCGCACCCGACTCAATGGGCATCACACTAAACTTCGAAACATATAAATGAACCAAAATTTTAAAAAAACATACAAGGCTAACAAAGGCCAGAGGTTCCTGACTTGGGACAGGCGCAAAAATTCGGCGGGGTTAAACATGAATTGTGAGATCTCAACCCTCCCCTATACCTCTAGCCAATGTAGAATAAACAAACACAAAGCAATACGCACAGTAAAACTCAAAGTCCTTTTATCAGTTAAATACGTAACCCGAATAATCCAGTCGTTATATTACGATCACTACGATCACTCCTCGAGAAAAGTAGTGGATAGAGGGCGCTGAATTATTCGAGTTATAAAATACGGAAAAATCAAAAATACATTTTCATTATGCTCTGGGTAGTGTCTTTTGATCATAAAGAAGCTCGTGCCCAACTTTCGTATAATTTCATGAAGCTAGGTTTGACAAAGCTATTGATGTCTGAACAACTTTAACCTTATAATGTATCTAAATATTAGTACATTTATCAGTAAAATAAAAAGAAGTATTTTCAAAATTTTGCTCTGAATACTGTCTTTAATTTGGTCTTAAAAAGCTTTACTGCTTCAGTCCAACTTCCGTAAAATTCCACGAAGGTTTGACAAAGTAATTGATGTGTAAAAAAAACTTTAACCACAGCCTAAACCTAGATGTTGAAGACGCCGACGACGGAATCTAGGATCGCTAAGTCTAGTTTTTTGCGACATAGATGTCGCAGGATCGACTAAAATTAATGCAAACCATATATCGTATCTCAGCAGTTAATGAATTGCCTTAAGCAATAAGAAACTGCGTAGAATTCACAGTAGATTCAGACTGACAGAAAATAAACAAAAATATGATATAAGACCATTTGATCAAAAATTAAATTTCGTCACTTTTATCTCCAATTACAAGTCATTGAAGAAAGAATTGCAAGACTCGTTTGCTTTTAGCAAGTTCTTATATTTGTCTAGATTAAATTATTTTTCTCCTAAATTCATGTGTACGCCCGGGCGTATTGACGTAAACGTAGCTGTGCGCCTGGCCTGTGATGCAGGCTCTTGTGTTATGAGCACGTAAATCTATATACAAAACGCAATGTAATAATTGTTTTCATAAGAAACACTGATATTGAAACTTATGATAGCAAATTCACAATAATAATTAAAAGAATAGGGAAGGACACATAATTTCGTGTGTTGAATCCCCTCGCTACCCCTAAATGCTCAAACTGAAGTCTTTTCGTTTGTAAAGTTTTGACTACAACTTGCATCTGCTGATTTTAAGCTGAAAGTCATACATACCATAGACACTATCCAAGAAAAAGATTGACAAAATACACTGAAACGTATCTGGTACCTTTTGGTATGCCAGTTATTTCTTTCAAAAACAACAAATATGGTATCAATAAAAAAATGCAGTATTTTGACTTTATCTGTTTCAGATGAACCCCTTAAAACGTGTTCCATATATACCGTATGACGAGATTTTTTTAATATGTGTAAAACACTGCGTTGATGGTCTCAAGGTAGCGTGCTCCCCCTAGTTCGGGAGGTCGTGGGTCGGATCCCAGGTCAGGTCGAACCAAAGCCCTGAAAATCGGTATTTGCCGTTTCTCCGATAAGAATGCGGCATTTAGAAACTTAGAAATAAAAACAGACTAATTGTCCCGGAGTCGAATTATCTGTCCGAGTAGTTGATATGTCGTCCTACGGACTGTTACCTTGTGAACTAGCACTTTAAAATCCACCTCAGCGTGTCCGTCTACTACATCATATCATATTAACATGTTCTCGTCCATATTCATGCATTTAATTTGCATCTGGACAGCCATCAGGTGTAACAAGCTAGTGTAGCCATGGTGGGAATTTTTTTTGATTAATATAAAAAGTCTGAACCAACTCTGTTTTATTGTTTGAAGTACGAGTTACGGGCATATATCCATAAAATGGATTTAATCTGGCATGAATTCCTACTTTCATCCTCATGGCCACACACTCAGGACTGTCAAAACTGATAAAAATGTCCCAAGTTATTTTATTATGAAACGGGGTCCTCAGTTCTTTCGCCAAATTTAATACTTTATTAGTTCAATTTGTGAGATAACTTTACCAGTATGTACTAGTATTTGGCAATAAGGATGGCTAAACTTGACAAATAGAATTCTAAACCACTAGAGAAAAGGAAAACGGATATAGGATAGATACCTTCATTAGAAGACAT